CTCCCAATTCTCTCCGCCGAAACCCTTCTCCCAATTCCTTCCGCCGACCTCCTCCTCTTTTTCTTCTATCTGTGCCTCTCTTGGTGACGGCACCGGCTTGCCGGTGTGCATCTCTCAACTGCGCACCCATGACTCGGCTCGAGGTACTTCTCTTCTCTCTCTGTTTGTGGTTCGGCTTGGGCGCTGACCTCTCCGATTTTCCGGTGGTTGTCCGTGTTCTGGTTGCGATTGCGGGTGGAAGGGCGGTGAGGGGTACGTCTGTGGCGATTGGGTGTGGCTCGTGGCGTTCCCCTCTTTTCTCCTTTCCAGCTGGCTTGGCCTCAGGCTCGACCGTTATTCGAGGATGCTTGTGGTGCGGTGGAGCTTGGCTATGGGCTGTCTGGGGGTGGGCTGGGTGGTGCGTCCGTTGGTTACACCGGTTGTTTCGGTGTGGCTGGGGCATGGTTGTCGCTTTTTGTGGCCTTCTCCCTGGATCTCTGGCGTTGAATCTGTGGGAGGACCGGTGTGGACAGATCTGCGGCCTAGTGGTGTTAGGCGGGCTCCGGTCGATATCGGTGGTTTGTGGGTCAATCGCGGCTTCTTTCGGTTGGTGAGCGAGTCGGCTGTGAGTGTTGTTTGTGGACTGGGACTTCACCTTGCTAGGCTTCGGCAGTGGTGGGTGTGGTCCTCGTTCTTTAGACTTCCCCTTGGAGTCGGCTTCCGCCCACTGGTTCTTGTCCGGTCTCATCACTGAGGGAGGGCTCGTTTTAGCTTTTGTTTCTTTTCGTTGTTCTGTTTCTTGTCTCTGTTTTGTTTAGTTGGAGTGTGTTGTTTAGGTTTGTGTTTTAGGTCTGGGTTGTTGCCTCTGTGCACCCGAGTGTGAACTTATTATCCTGTTGGGATCTTACACTCGGGCATTATCCTGTTGGGGTCGTTAGGTGGTGTGTTTTAGTGTTTTTTACCTCGTTGGGGTCGTCTTTGTGTGGTTAGGGTATTACCCTGTTAGGGCCGGTTCTAGGTTGGTCTTTGACCTGTCCTCTCATTTTCATTCAGCTGGTGGCTGTGGTTCAGCTTGTGGTTGTATATTTGCACTTTTTGTGCCTTTTATATAATATTTCTATCGTTCCAAAAAAAAATATATATATATATATATATTTGTGTGTGTCACTCTATCTTCTACTTCACAATCAAATGCAATGAGGATCCTATTTTTCTTTTTCTTTTTAAAAAAAAAAATAAAAAATAAAAAATAAAACATTTACAAACATGACTATAATTCAGTTTTTTAAAAGTCGCTAGGTGCCCGCTAAGCGCTCGACCAGCGCCTAGAGCCTAGAGCGCCTAGGCGGGGTCTAGTCGGCGCCTAGAAATAAATATTAAATACCTTACTTTTTATTTATTTTAACTACCTACAAAATAAAATTATCTCAAAATTATCTCAACTTATAATAAATCGACACACCTAAGTCCAAATAATAAAAATTAATATATTTTAAAGAAAACATGAGAACAAAAGAATATAATTAATGTTTAAAAAAATTAAAAAAAAAATAAAAAAAAAAACTGAAAAATGCCGCCCAGCCCGCCTATGAGTGTCTAGGTCCGCCTATGCCCGCCTAGGCGCCGTCTAATCGCCTGACCGCCGAGCCCGCTAAGGCCACCTGGTACCGCCTAGGCGGCTAGGCGCCTATCCGCCTGACCGATTTTTTCTGCCGATTTGTGCAAATCGGAGGCGCCCGGGCACTGCCTAGCACCTAGGCGCTGCCTGGGCCGATTTTTAGAACAGTGCTATAAGTATGTGTCACTCTCAGCTCTCTTCTATTTTACCATCAAATGCATCACCATCAAATTAAGAGCGCTTGGATGAGATGACTTGGGTCTCTTCCAACTTAACCAGTGGTCTCGTGTTCGAGCCCTGTGAATGCAGCAGCGTTAAAAACTCTTGAGGAAGAGCTTTGCCGCCCTTGTGGTCCTACCCGACTCGATTCTGGATTAGTCGGTTCCCCTATGGATCTGGAAATCGGAAGGTCTCCGTACAAAAAACAAAAAAATAAATGTAGAGAGGATCCTATTAAAAATTAAAAGACATTTACCAAATATATGTGTTATATATTGTTCTTTACCATCAAATGCATTACCATAAAATGCATAGAGGACCCTATTCAAAAAATAAATTTACCAAACACGAGTATATATGTGTCACTCTCTCTTCTACTTTACTGTCAAATGCATCACCATCGAATGCAAAGAGATAAATCCTATTAAAAAGACATTTATCAAATACGACTATATAATTGTGTCACTGCCTCTTCTACTTTTAACATCAAATGCATAGAAGATCCTATTCAAAAAAGACATTTATCAAACACGACTATATATATGGTCATTAGCTCTATCTTCGACATTACTATTATCAAATGCATAACCGTCAAATGCAAAGAGGATCCTATTAAAGAAAAACATTTACCAAGTACGACTATATATATGTGTCATGACTCTCTATTCTACTTTAACATCAAATAATCATATCATCAAATGCAGAGAGAATCCTATAATTTTTTTT